TCGTACGGTATATCGACGCTGTGCATCTCTGGATCATATGACTCAGGTGTCGAGCTTGAGTCTTTGGGCGTAATTGCCTGTCGACGTTCTGTCCACTTTTGTAGGGCTTCAGTAATGCCCGGGGAAACATGCTCGCGTAAGCGCTGTGTATGCTTTCCTGATCTTTCTAATTGATCTACATGCTCGACAGTCCAAGTCTTTCATAATAGTAGCTAACTGATTCTTCAGATCAGCGTTTTTAGTAATTAACTTACTTATGTGATTCGGCTTAGAAGTCTCGGACGTAGATTCGGTTTTGCTACTTGAGCTTGACTCCTCTTCTGGTTCCATAATAGGTTCCTTCTGAGATTTGTCCTTGTCCCCTATAATTGGGGACGCCCTCATAATTGAGACTTTCTTTTCTGATTTTCGTCAGAAGAATGGGTTGGGGCGTCTTGCGACGTATCCCTTGTCTCACTTCTTGGCTTCGTTAATGCAAGCTTTGAAGTTGAGGCAATAGTTGGCCCTCGGGCTCTGTCAGAAGGAGTAGTCTCCTTAAGCGGAGTGGCTACTTCCTTATCTGAAGCATTGTCCTTTTGACTATAATTGTCAGAGGCAAGTTCTTTGGCTACAGTGCGCTTAAATGCATCAGCAGCGGCGTCGGTTGCTTGCGCAGCAGTAATAGCTGCGGCAGCGTTAGCGACTTCTCTCTCCATCTTCTTCTTTTCAGCTCTACGCTTCTTAGAAGGAGTGTTGTCTTTCTTGGTCATAATCTTAACTTATGACTACTAGCTTGTCTCTTAACGACTAGCTTAGACAAGAGAAAAAAAATGTTGTGGTAGTTAACTTACCTTTACGCTTAAGTAGTCTACGTAATTAATACTTTTGCTAACTTTAAAATGTGTAGGATTCGGTCTAATGAAGGCGATACTAATGCCTTAGAATAAATAAACGCGTAGGTACATTCTATATATCGTGTAAATATCGATATAAATAAACGAAATGAGACGTTTAATAAAGTTAGGTTTGCCTCGTGAAAACAGCAATACTCTGAAGGATTGTGAGGCTGAGACATTGCCTATATATAATCCTCTCAGTACTGTTTCCGCCGAAGGGACTTTATTTAGTGTTTCGTTGTCGCTCTATTCTGGGGCGAATCCGATAGACTCATAAAATCCAATCTTTAGAAAATATAAATATAAATAAAAATACTCTTGACGTCTTTAGTTATTGTCTTAACCAATAACTTGCCATTATCAAGAATTACCGACTTAGCCTTCATCAGACTGGCACATCTGGTTGGCTTATCAGAGGATCTACTAGGTAACGTTAATAGTCCCTAGAAACCTATATTGGGTTGAGCCATCTCGCTACCGAAGTATTCAGATGTAGATAAAGTTGGAAAGTAAATATAGTTCTATTAATAGAACTAGACCAACTCTTATGTTTGGTATTTTACTGAGGTCTTTTAATGGTCTCGCCCAAATATCTGATATGTAAAATGGAAAAGGTTTAATTAATAAAACCATTAAAACCCATTTTAGGAAACTTAAGTTCCTCGTGCTATTAAGAGCACATTTAGGAGACTTAAGTTCCTCGTACTATTAAGAGTACATTTAGGAAACTTAAGTTCCTCGTACTATTAAGAGTACGTTTATAATTTGCGTACTGCTTAAGGGTACGTTTATACATAGAGTCTAATGTAGAGGCCCGGCTTATTACTTCTCTTCTTGAGTGCGATGTCCTTCATCTCTCTCAAGCAAGACAAACCGACATCTCTGGTACAACGCATCTTCTCTAAATTGGTAAAACATGGTCTTCCTGAGAATCCCTGTTGAAAGGTACTTGTAGTTCACTTTAACGGCCCCTGAAATAGTGAGCAGGTGTTGTACCAGTGACGGAGTCCGGTGTCTCGTTCATTTGTGTCTGTGCCCAGTTAATTGAGTGTGGCCACATATCAGTATTGTCTAGCAACACTCCACGCATGAACTCTTTCATCTTTCTGTGTCGTTCCTCATTCGAACCTTGTGTCTGAGGCTTATATGATACACCCATCTTGTGGCATGATCCCGCAACGAGTAAGAGTGTTGTCATGATAATTCCTGTAAACTCACTAACGTTGTTAGTACATACAATAGTTGACCAGCCGAAATCTGCCAAACACTTATATATGCACTCAGCCACAGTGTGTGTTGATTGGTCTTTCAGAGGATACAATCTAGTATATCGTGTAGCAACATCAAACACGTGACAAACATACTTATATTCCGTGTTTTCGGACATGGGTAGCTCAACCAAATCAATGATAACCCTGCGCCACGGCTCGTCTTCTGATACAATCTATAATGGGGCAAATCCATAGCGCTTGATCCGGTTATCTTCGCAGTCGTTGCATTTGTGATACACCTGAGATATATTTTGCCTAAGCTTTTGGTGTAAAATCCCTTAATCTTTCTCAGTCATGGCCTTATCCATGTATTCAAGCGCATAGTTTTGCCTTAATTTAAAAATAGCGGGTTCCTAATAGTAAGTCGCACAGTTAGCGTATATTATAAACGTATAAACGTTTCAACGTTTATACCTATAATCCTGGAATACATTTAACAAATTGGGTTTTTAAACCCTAAAACCCGAATTCAAGATTCTGGACATGTGGCAGTACACATTAGAGTATGGGACTCTATTGTGGACAATTAGGTGGCTTTCCAAGTATAGATTGGGTATTCCACTGAAATTAGAATTGTACTTTATATAGGAATATTACAAATCTGACACCTGAAAATGACACCTTGGGAATCTCTAATTATTGGGAGTACCGTGAGGGAGAGTCTCAGGCATGAAATGGTTGTTGGTACAAACCTATGGTGTAATTCGAAAATGATCTCAGAGCAAGATAATCCACTGAGAATAGGACAGGATCAGAGTTATTATAATTTAGGACAACATGGTTTTGATTCCTCCTAGTCAGCCAACTAAATGTGCCCGTCTATGCTTTGAATGGGATGGGGAAAGCTAGATGCCAAGTGATGGGATATAGGTGCAGATGTGTACTGCACCAGCTTTTGGTGTTTTGGTTTTCTGTTTCTTTTCTTAAGTTGGACTTAGAGGTCTTTTATTGGTTAGTTTGATTGGGAGATTGTTTCGAGGCGTGAAATGTAAACTATGCGTCCAATGAAATGATATCCAGTCTTAGTAACTAAAACATAAACAAATCTAGACCGAAGTAGTGAGTGATTAGAGTGGATCATATAGACAATAGTCTCAGTCTAAAATCCCCTAATCTTTTAGCTGAAGCTAAACCTATTTAATATTTTGTATTCTAACGTTTTGACGGATTGTCCACTTAACGTAAACGTCTTGGTATCGTATAGCCAGCCTAAAGGAGACCGACTTTTACACATTTTTAAGTTTATAATACGCTATCGATATTATGGCGAAAGGGAAGAATAAGGCTGCAAATGTAACTAAGGCTGCAACGCGAAAGGGTTTGCTGCAGGCGAAGTAAAACAGAAAACGTCCCCGGTACCACCAGCAGCCGGTGAGGTAACTGAGGTTACACCGACACAAGTGGCACCAACTTTATCTAAACGGAAACGTAAGAAGTTCGCTGACTCGGGTGTAGGTGAATCCGGCGGGAATGTGACAACTGAGCCGCAGAAACCACCAGCGAAGAAGGCGAAGGCTCGAAAGGGAGCAGCCGAGAAAACGCAATCCTCAGAAAATTCAACTTCAGAGGAAGTGCGACATGCACTGGAATCAGATGTATCATCTCCACCAGTGGACACGCGCACGGCACGTAGGCACGACCCCACCTTTCATTTGATTGAAAGGGATAGGAGAACCTTCCTGAAGAACTACCAACCAATGGTCCATTAACTGAGATCTACTAAACAGTGGAAGGCAAAGCAAGCCGCTGCCGCTGATCAAGGTGATGGTGAATCAGGAGATGATGATTTGGAAGACGTGCCCATGGCACACAATTTGTTAAATCAGCCCCAAATCAACGTGACGGAGGAGCAACTGCGTTTCGTGGATATAGGCCCGGACGATGTGGACAATCCACCTCTGTAGAAATACGGCCTCCGGTCAGTCTAAAATAACAAGATCAAATGAGATAACACGTTGGTTTTTATTTATATTTAAAATAATTTCCAATATTTCCAAAGTGTTCTAAATTCACTTTGATGGCTCCAATAGCCTGAGTATCTAGTATGACTCATTTACTTGGACCTATTTGAGACGATAGTAGATGTAGGATATTATAAACTAAATTTTTATAATCTCTGAACTATTACTTACAGGTTTTAGTCTTCCCGCCAATCTCCAAAATACAATAAGTCTTTTTCTTTTTTCAACTTTTCTTTAACTTTATTTATATTAGCTAATGTATTAACTTAACTTACGTTCTTATGTCTTTCTACAAATTAGACATGTGGTCATGAACATACACTTAGTACTTCTAGTGTAAATTATTCAATAAAGAACAGCTAGAGGTACGTCCTGTGTGATCGAGGATATTAAGGTTCTTACCAAGAGGCAGTCCCGATCATTCTTACACAGGCTACCACTGCTAAATCCTAACCGACTTGAATTATATCTTAGTTTATATAACATAGTTTAAAACATAGAAATATCCATCGAGGTTTACATATTTTCAGTTATTTAGTAGTTACAGTAGTGTACTGTTTCCAGACTGTCTAACAATTGCTTACATTTTTGAAAAAAATAACATTATCCCTATCCAGCGACAGGACTGTAAGTATTCTATACTCCCTCATAGTGGCTAATACTACCCTAAAGTAAGGTACACGCTAATTACTATACCTAGACTATATTAATTTTCTTATTTTTGAGCTATTATTATGGCTAAAGGAAATTCTAAAGGCAAGGGAGCCGCCAGCTCTAAGCCTGCTAAGCCTGATGAGGTTCCTGAGATTACTGGGGACTTTGGTCCATCTGGTACTGAGCCTGCCGTTGAAGCTGTAGATGAAGCCGTTTCTAAGCTTGGTTCTGAGGAAAACTCTGAGGATGACTCGTCAGACCCTAAATCCTTGGAAGTGGAGGTCTCAACTGCCGCGGAAAGGCTCGCCAGCGCCCGTGTGTCTCCTAGTAGTGCAGCCCGGGGCCTCAGCTTGCCATCTGACCGCGAAAAGTCAGATATTGGAAAGGTAATATCTCCTGAACAAGTGGAGGAATCGTCTCGAGATCGACGGTTTATTACTACTAAATATCAGCCCTATCCACCTATTAACTAAGATGGTGGCGTTCCATTTCGTGAAATTTCATTGAATGCCTCGCCACTGAATGCCTCGCCACTGAAAGTTGGGGGCGGAGGACGCAAATGTTGGGGACGCCATAACTCGATAACGAGTGGTTGGATCTTCTCAATCTCGACGCCATTTGAACCGCAAAGATGAGCTTTTAAAAGAGCTAGCCGCTGCCGCAGCTTCTGACCCGTCGATCATTTCCCACGTGGCTGATATTCTTCCTATACCGAAGAAAAAGTATTCCGAGCCGGGTTTCGAATCGGGGACCCACTGGTTTACAAGCCAGCATGGTTACCACTGTGGCAGTTACCCCTGGTGAAGTGTGTAAAATCTCAAGATTTAATCCCTATAGCTCAGAAGTTACAATCGACCATCCTCTCGACAAACCTAACCCTGTCAGAGGCTATGATCGTATAGAAATCGATGAGGCTTACCACCCTCATATCATCGATCCTCATTTACCATCTAACCCTGGTAATCACGACTTTGGTAATCGTTATGCCAGTACCTCACTAAAGAGTACCCACTCTAGCTCTGAAGACGAGGAAGTGAGAACCAGACAACATCGTCTCAGGCTATTACGTTCTGGTTTGCAAGTCCTTGAGGGCCGTCTATTGAATGACTCTGAGCTTGACGATAAGAAAAGGATGACATTCGCTATCTAATCGATAACAAGAGAAAGGAGATAGACTCCATCTTGGCACTAGCAGCCCGTAGCACTGAGCATGAGCCTCGTGAACGCTTCGAACCAAGCTTTATAAAGCAGCTAGGTAATGCGAAGGCTGAGGTCGATTTCTCTACTAATGAGAGTACAGTGGAGACACTGAAGGCCTTTGACCAACTTAAGGAGTCTGCCAGCCTTAAGGATAAGCAGATGATGAATGCCTTTATTCATTTCTGTGAGTCAGAGGAATGGAAAACTATCTTGAAGGCCCATGGGCCCAACTGGAAAGCCCTACCCTGGCGCCAGTTGCGTGAGAATATACTTAACGCCTTCTTTGAAGATGCACGTGAGCGTGAACTTCTAGAGTCTCGCAAGTCTTTTGCGAACGATACTACTATTCGAGGTGCTCTAGCTCATATGACACACGTGAACACTCGGATGGGAGGTCGTACCTATACTGGCGAATATTTATTAATTTGGTCAGATGATGGAGACTCTGGTGTCTAACCTTTTTAAGAAGGTCAATAATAATATTACCGCCTATGGTGATTTGCGATCGATGCCTTGGTCTGTCTTTGAGAAGATAGTTCAAAAGCATACCATCCCATCTACTAGAGTACTTAGTACCTCGATCTTTACCCAGCCCGCTAAGCGTACCGCGACCTCGCACTGCTGCTGGAGGTTGTAAAGGCTCTACTTCTACTGAACCAAAGGGTGAAAGGAAAGAGAGACCACCTTGCAAGAAGTGTGGTTACAACCTCACTAAACGTGATCGCAGTAGAATGGTAAACACGACTCTGTTAAGTGTGCACCAGGCAAGCCAAACTTTGGACACTATATGAAAGAGTGTACTACTTGCAAGGGTACTAACGGTTGGCACAAAGATGATTGCAAGGACATACCGGACGTCCAAGTTAAGCACTGACAGTTCCATATGTGTGCACTAGAGCAAGATTATGAGAAATAGCTCAATAAAATCTATACCAAATGAGATGAACGTATATTTCAAACCGTTAATGTAAAAGGAGAAAAAATCATAGCACTTTTTGATCCAGGGGCTGAAGTCTCTGCTATCTCACGGCGAGTAGCCTACGCTACAGATATGGCTATCCATAAGGAAACAACTAATTTAATCTTAGGAAATGGCAAAGTTACCACTTGCGAAGAAGCCATTGACTATGCACACATAATGTTGTCAGATAGAAGAGAAATAAAGACTCACCTAATCGTTACTGACATGTCTCATAAATACGATTTAATTATAGGTATGACTGATCTTCTCAGTTCAGGTATAACTCTCACTGGTCTGCCTAACGGGCTAGACCCAAATAAAGATCAATCAGATGATAACATGTTTAAGATACCTAAACGTCCGGAAGATGAAGAAAAGGATATGATTCCGCACTTTACCGATACAATTATGGACTTAATTATACAAAACAGGAAGATTGCAATAACTGACTGGTGTATGTTTAAGTTCTCTAGCGGGTACGTTAAGCTTGACTTAACAAACATCGACTTCTCTAAGTTAAAGTCTCTTTCACAAAACTACGTGAGTTGGAGGCACAAAGACGTTGTCAAACCCCAAATTGAAGATTAGTTAAAACAGTGTCTGATTGAAATCAATTATGATGCAACCCCAGTTAACTTAGCTCTCTTAGCGGTCGATCAATATAAATCTGATGGAACGTTTAGTAAACAAGAGTAGTACTAGACCTGTCGCCAATCAACAAACTAATTCAGCAACATAGTTTTCCCTTACCAAAGATAAGCGAGATACTACGCAAAATGGAAGGTGCGACTATCCTTTCCAAGGTAGACTTGAAAGCTGCATTCCATCAATTACAAATATATGACCCGCATAAGAAATACTCTTCCTTTGCTTGGCAAAGTTAGAAGCACCAGTTTAAAGGCGCACCTGAAGGCTTACACATGTTACCTTCTTTCTTCCAACAAGTTATGATGGAACTATTTGCGGACCTGTCGGATAACGTATCGGTATATTTAAAGGATATAGTTATCTTTACAAAGACAGCACATGAACATGCTAAACTCGTAAAGGAAGTCTTAAAGCGACTAAACCATGCCGAACTTGAGATTAACGAGGACAAGTGTTCTTTTGCTAAAGATACTATACACTTACTTGGTTACAAGGTATCTGTAGCAGGGGTAGAAATTGATCCTGGCAAGAAACAATTTCTGTTGGATTTATCAACGAAATTGATCCTGGCAAGAAACAATTTCTGTTGGATTTATCAACTCCGATTACTGGAAGAGATGTGAACTCTGTGTGTGGGTTTATTAACTTCTTCTCGGATTCGGTACCTCATCTTTCTCATTACTTAAAGCCTTTCAGTCACCTACGGCTGCACAAAGGACCTTTGGGAAAGCTCTGGACTAAAAAATGTGATGATGCATTTAAGCTAGTCAAAAGTAAAGTAATGGACGCACCCATCATGCAATACCCTCTGGATGGCGTCTTATTCCAATTAGCAACCGACGCTTCAGATCGAGCGGTAGGTGGAGCGCTATACCAAACAACAAATGGTAAACCACGGTACATACAATTCTTTAGCAAGAGTTAAAATAAGAGTCAACGGAATTACCCTACCGTTAAACAAGAGCTCCTTGCTATTGTTACTGCGCTAAGACTGTTTAAAAACTACCTTTATGGAAGTTACTTCACTGTCGCCTGTGATCAAAATCTTTAGCATATTTAAAGGACGTGAACCTTGATTCACAGTTGGTGAGCCGCTGGCATGACACTATTGCTAAGTTCGCTTTTAACACTACACACATACCAGGAATACATAATCATCTTTCTGACATGCTCTCTCGACTTGTCACCGACTACCAGAAAACAGATAAATAATTATTAGCAACCGATTGGATGCTTAATATGAAATGGTTTAACCTCGCTCGATCAAGATGGGGTCCCATTTACTATTGATATGTTCGCCGCAGAACATAACAAACAGGTTTCTGAATATAGGTCGTTGACTCATCCTAAAGGTGATGCCTTTCAACTTGACTTATCAAAGCATAATGCGTGGGCAAACCCACCTTGGCAACTTATCGCACAGTTGTTAAATTATGTTAATATTACTGAATCTACCATTACACTGTGTTGTCCCTTACGT